ATAACTTTGGGGTATTACTGTATCATGAAAAACGACCACGCCATCAATATATTTAACAATAACTTCCCCGAAAACCAAAAAATGTTTGTAAACAATGGAAGGTCGGTCTTCCATATATTTTCATATTTACGCCGTTCTCGGCATCCCTCTTTTCATGAAGTTAATGCTGGCACTATGATGTACACTTTCATACCATTACCCAGGAGTATCATATTTTAAAGACAAAATCGACAGCCGCTATGTAAAAAACACACTGCAGTCTCTTGGTTAATTTCCACAGAGTGGAATACATTTATCAACCTGTAAAGAAACAAACTGACCCAACCGGGGTTCAAACCCAGAACCTCTCTAAACCTGACGGTCTAAAAAGTGTGAAACCCCAGCCAGGAGCCATGTTAACTGAAATTCTACATATATTCAGAAAAATTATTTTATTTGGTTGCGCAGGGCATATTTCCCAGTTAAACGGCAAGCGACTCAAATAAACAAAAATTTCTTTAACTCGCTGAACCAATAGCTCTATCGACTGTCGTCTTCACTGAGCCCTCATAGATCGTTATCGCGGTAGAAAATAATGATGCCAGTAAATCAATTGTAACATTAGGTTCGAGACAGCATACAATGGATAAATCTGCTTGGACTAGATATGTTGCCACATGAAGCCTTGCAAAAATAACAAACTCTACCTCTATAAACAAAGATATATAAGGATTTCCTGTAAGAATAGCTCCGAAAAAAATCATCCTCGCAACATCATCTCAGGGAGCCGAGAACGGTCAAAGAAAGGGATTGCTTGGCCAGATGAAGTACGGTGGGGTTTGCTCCCTTTTAAGAGACAAGGTAGAGGAAGAAGACCTGTAATGAACCGCTAAACGGTCAGCCAATGAACTTTCGTGAATTATTATACAATTTTGACTGATGGTCATAACCATAAATTGGGTTAGAACAGGCTACATTGTTCATCCAGTCGGCAAATGAGCTATCCTCTGTTTAAATTAATGGCTGTCTCTGGTTTACAAGCAAGAACCTGATAACGCTGAAATAAAGTGACTACTCTACCGCGCTTTACGTTTCCATTGCTCCAATGAGACAGATTATGAAAGGACAACGAAGCAGACGAAAAATTAAAAACAAACTCTAACTGCTGTATCAGGGTTTCGAGCCCTGTCTCGTCAACGCACTGCCCCGAAGATATACTTCCGGTTGGAGCAACAGTCCCCTTTCGACTACGCGCACATGATTATGCAACTTTATTTTTATCGAAATGGCTCTCACGCGTGAAAGAAGTGATTTCAAACCGCACCTTGTTCAAATTCCACGTTAATCCACTGGTGTGATTCGTCTTGACGTAGTTGTACAAGTTCGTCAGAACTTCAGTCCATGCTTTGACCCAGTGAGCATGAATAGGGTCCCTCAAACGCAGAAAATGCAAGAATGGCCAGACGCTAGAAGCGTCTGCGAGGCGCCGTTGGACTCACTTGTCTTTAAAGTCCTTCAAGACGCGATTTGCATAGAACTGAGACGCATCCTCCATCTCCTTGATGAACGACGCCGGAGCAGGTACCTTCACAACGAACAAACAACAGTTTAAAGCATCGACGGCACGTTTGCAAATGTACCACATTGATCCAGCCCAAAGCGGGTATGCTTTCGCTTATAGTCGACAAGTGGTTAAAAAAGGCACTGCTTCGTTTCGAGTTCCTGAGGTCCTGAAAAAATATGTAAAACAATTCATCAAACAAGCAAAACGAAACAGCATTCTTTTAGGCAAAAATAAGTTAACCGAAATAGGGCTAAAATCAGATACGAATTTCTGGTTCATTAATAAAAAGCGACAAAGGAGTAGGTTCCCTATGCCTGCATTTTTGGCCACCAAAGACTCACGAATAATCTAGGATGACGACAACCGGTGTTCCCACCTATATGGTCATTTATTAGTGGGTTCATCACACGTCGACTGAATACTTACGGAAGGCACAGAGGTATAAAGTTGCTAATCCATATCGAGCCCATAACATTGTCCTTGTGCATACTGACATCGTTGACAGTAACGGAAGAGACATGTATCTTACAAGAATCTCACCTATGCTTGTTCTGGAGATTCATTACAACCCATCGCGTATGCCACTATCCCATTGAAAGAAGACTACAAAACATTGCAAATATTAGAAGAACGGTTCTGAGAGCAAAGATGTCAGCTTCTCCACACCAAGCAGGAAGATTTCGTCAACATACT